CTGGAAACAAAATGGTCTCCATTTACACAATCGTGCCCAATATTTGCCAATGTACATCCACGTAAAGCCTAAGAAAGCATTTAAAAAAAAAAAAGCACCTCCAGACCCACAAAAACAGAAGTCAAATGCAGTTTTTTGGTAACCACATATTTTCAGATAGGCTCTGCTTGCTAGCATTGAGCAGAGGCGTGGCTTCTTCCTGGCTCGTGCTGGTAGCAAAAACGGCTCTTTCAGGAGGTCCTGCGATGGAGCACTTAAATGGGGTTTATGAGCAGCATGCTATTAGTTGCTTGACGGCGGTGGCATAGACCTGCTGCATCCCTGGAGATGGAGCAGTGAGCATGGCTCACAGAGGCAGTGAACATAGCTCTGCCATGTTGGCCAGGGTGGAGTCAACAGTCTGACCACTCTAGGTGAAGAGATCTGAGTACTGTGCATTTATATGCATGTTGTTTCGCTATCTCCTCTACCCACAGTCCTTTTGTGGCAGTTGGAATGAGAATGGCTCCCCATCGTCTCAGGCTTTTGAATACTTATTTTTCAGCTTGTAGTACTGTCTGGAGGAGTTTAGGAAGTATAACCTTGCTGGAGGAAGTGTGTCACTGAGTCTGGGTTTTGACAGTTTACAGGCTTACCCTACTCCCAGTTGCAATTCAAGATGTGAGCACTCAGTGTCTTACCCTTGATTCTATGTCTGCCACCTGCTGTCCTGTCTTGATGCCATGATAGGCTTTTGTCCCCCAGAATCCTAAGTCCAAATCAACCCTTCCTTATATAGGTTACTTTGCACCATGGCATTGTATCACAGCAATACAAAAGTAGCTAGTATACCTTGTTCCTCAGAGCAATAAAATAAATGTGTACTGTGTTGCTACTATGGTAAGAACTATACTAAATTCTAGAATGAGATGGCAAGCTGTGGGACTGGAAAGATGGCTCAGCAGTTAAGAGTGCTCCCTGCTCTTGCAGAGGACCTGAACTGGTTTCCAGCACTCATTGCAGACGGCTCATAACAGTTTGACACTCCATTTCCAGGGCTCTGCCATGTGCTTCAGGACTCTATGAGCATCTGCGCTCACACGCACACACTCACACACAGACACACACAATCAAACAAATCTCTAGTTTTAAAAACTAGTGAGCAGTACACAAGAAGCTCAAAAGAAGCATCCAGGAATAAACTTAGAGGAGTAGAAAGATCTCTACAGTAAACACTTGGAAATACTGAAGAAAGTAGTGAAGACATTTGAAGACTGAAAGCCCTCCTATGCTCCCAGATCTGCAGAACCAACATGCGAAATGGCTACATTACCAGAAGTGACCTTCCGTGTCCATCAAATTCCAATGACATTTTTCACAGAACTAGAAGGGGGAAAAAGATCTTGAAGATCCAAAGCAGTTCCTAGCAGAAAGAGAAATGTTAATGACAACACAGTCTCTGACTGGGTCCTCCACCATTGTCCACCAACTGAGAAAATGCCTTACAGCTGGATCTCATGGAGGCATTTCCTCAGCTGAGACTCCTTCCTCTCTGATGACTCTAGCTTGCGTCAGGTTCACAGGTTGACACACAAAACAAACCTGTCATTAAAATTAATATCAGAATATACAAAGAAAAAAAAAGAATTAAACACCAAGGAAACAATCATGTGATCAATTCACTGCCAAATGAATACACAGTTTTCAAAAGAACAAATGGACAATAAATATTTGAAAAGCGGTCAATATCCTTAGCCATCAGAGAAAAGTAAAGCAAAATTACATTGGCATCCCATCTCACACCAGCAGACTGATGGTCATCAAGGAAACAAAAGGTAGCAAATGCTAGTAAAACGTGGGGGATGCCTGATGCAGCTGTAGAAACATTCACTGTAGAAATCAAAACAAAGGTTCCTCAACAAAACAAAATTATAAACATCTTATGAACCACTTATACCACTCTTGGGTATACATCCAACAGAATCCACATGAGCATCCCATCTGCATTGTTTATATTACGCCACTGTTCAGAAGAGCCAAGACTACTGCTCACAATCACCCTAGATGCCCATCAATAGATAGATAGATGGATAAAGAAAAGGTGGTATATATACAATGTAGTTTCCTGCAGTCATGAAATGCTAAAGTAAATTATTTTCAGGAAAATGAAGCTAGAGAAGTGGGAAGACCCACTTCTAACTCAGATCTTTGAGGTGAGAAGATCCATCGCTAATCTGGGCCACACCTTCTGCAAGCAGCCTATATAAAGGACATGGAAGAAGGGAGCTTCTCTCTTTACCTGGTTACTTTCATCCTCACTGGAAAGCCCATTCCTTTACTGGCATTTGAGCCTACTTTGGGAGAATTCCAGCATACACTGAAGATCGATCATAGGCAACCATTGTAGAATTTGCTAGACCGCGGTCTGCAAGTCATTCTTAAAAATGCTATGTAGAGACTCATTCTACCAGTTGTTACTCTACAGAACTCTGACTAATCCAGTTGTGTTAAGCAAAATAAGCCAAACCCAGAAAGACAGCACATATTTTCTCTTATATATGGAATATACATGTGCACATGCACACATGCAGTAGAATGATTGGTGAGGAAGAAGAGGACTAGAGAGTGGTGAGGAGGCAGGAGAAGGGAAAATAATAGAAGGGTATGGGCAAAGTAAATGATAAGCATGTATAGAAATATCTTAATGAAACTTTATGTGATGAAAACCAGTGAACAGGGTTGGAGAAATGACCCAAAGGTTAAGAGCATTTGTTGCTCTTGTAGAGAACCTGGGTTCAGTTCTCAGCACCCACATAGACATCCACCACCATCTGTAACTCCAATTCTAAGTGAGCTGATGCTCTCTTCTGACCTCCATGGGGACCAGGTATGCAGGGGACATATACATATACATACAAGCAGGCAAAACACTCATACATGTAAAATAAAATAGATGAAGCTTTAAAAAAATATAGCCTCAAAGATCAGATTTTCATCTGCCTTATGATGGGGGTGTGCAGGAAAAGAGCCAATGATCACAGAACAGATAACAAAGCCAAGTGTGTGATGTCCACAAAGTTTTATGAGCTTATTTAACACAGGCATTTGGCCTCTATGGGAAGTCAGGAAGGCTTCCTATAGAGAATGACATGAACCTATAACTGAACTGTGAGCCTGAGCTGGTCAGGCAGTCCATGAGGATGGGATCAAAAGATCAAGGTGACTGGAACACCTGAAGTAAGCGGCAGAGAAATACATACAGGATGAGGACAGAAAAATAGGTAGGGATGAGATTTCTATGTGCGTTGCATGACAAAATATTTCCTGGTGAGACACAACACACATGCCTACTCACCTCAGATAGAGATTCCACCATGGACCAAAGTTCATCTTGGTAAACCAATAAGTTTTATTGAAGTTACTTACGGAAATATGCGTGAAGGATCACTTAATAGGAGCAGAAATGACTCAAAGACAGCTGCATGGCCAAACCCACTCCAGCATGGGTGACAGCTCACAAAGCTGGGAACCTGGAGCACTGCAGGCAGCTGAGCAGGTCAAAGAGTGTCCTTTCCGGGTTCTTCAGTTGGTCCAAACCTCTTCCAGGCAGCTCGTTTCTGTTTCTGCCAGGCAGCTGGTGTGGTCTCAGAGTCTTCTTTGCAGATAAACTCACTTTCATCTCAGCTTTTTACTGCCTACTCTGGCAGGGAGGGGCCTAGTGAATCTGGTCAGTTTCAGGAACTTATGAAGCTATTTGGAGCTATCTTCCCATTCAAGGAGCTTCCCTGGAGGATAGAATGTTTCTGTCAGGAGGAAACTGTCTACACAACAGCAGGCAGTGTAGACTGCATTAGAGATTTAAAATTTCATATGCAAATAAATAGAAAGCTACAGGAAGGCTTAGTTAGGGGAAGTGCTCTGATTTAACTTAACTTTCTCAACAGTAAGCATGCTATGTAGGAAACAGAGGCAGCTCCATGTGGCTGTGTATTGTTGACGAGGACTAAAGTCCTGAGAAGTTAAGGCCTTTTCCTGTTTGGGTCAGGCTCAGAATTAGCAAAGCCTTCTTCCCCGAGTTCTAGTGTTCACAGATGGTTGACCAGTGTATACAAAATCTAGCAATTGTAGCTTCCTTCCTTACCCCAAAAGTTTACTGCTTGAGACTACTCTCGCCTACAGATACCTCCTATCCCGACTACTTAATTCCTTCCCTGTGCCGTGCCCAATAAACTCGCTGAGGTCCTGGTTTGTGGGAGTGGTAGGTGTGGCTCCGTCAGAGAACACAGTCCCACCTGACCCCAGCTTTCCTATGACCACGTGTCTGTGGTGGCTTCCAAGTCACTGTCCTTTCTCATTCCCTCACTGCTCTAGTCAGAGTTCAAGACCCAGGCCAAGGGGGCTGGGGACTCCCGCAGGATGCTAATTGCAATGGACCCCATATACACTGAGGGAGTCCTTAGGGTGGCGGACCCCCATATACACTGAGTAAATCCTTAGGGTGGTGGACCCCATATACACTGAGGAAGTCCTTAGGGTGGCGGACCCCATATACACTTAGGGAGTCCTTAGGGTGGTGGACCCCATATACACTGAGGAAGTCCCTAGGGAGTTGGACCCCATATACACTGAGGAAGTACTTAAGGCCATGGCAGAGTACATGAGGGTGGTGTGCATGGATTGAAAAGTGTTGACAGTAAAATCAATGAGATGGGAAAAGACTAGACGAGATGGGTGAAGGAGAAAAAACAAGGATATAATGTCATGAAAAGTGTCTGGATTGTACTTCTTCAAAATAACCTCAGATAGTCTTAATTTCCTCCACTCAAAATCCCAAAGGACTTAAAGGTATTCCTCTTAATTGGATTATGGGCTGGATGACTGGGGAGTAGGGCCACTGAAAAAGGGATTGGGGAGTGACAGCCAGAGAGTCTGTGCTCTTGTGGGGCCATGGAAACAGAAAGACTGGCCAGTGACTCAGTGTAGAGGAGTTAAAAGAAAAAAAAAACTTCAAACTCATTGAATTTGGATTTTTTTCAACATTTTATTATGGCACACAGAATTGAGTATGGAATTGTGTTCTTCAACCAAGTGTTTCTTAAACCAACCAGCTGTTTGCATCAACTCATAACTAAGGAGCACAGGCGTGAAAAGCTTGCTGTCTAGGGTCATGCCGAGAGCCTCCAGAGTTCAACTTCACACCACGGTAGATGGAGCAATGCTTTGCCTATTTGTGTAGTAACACAGAGTCAACCCGAAGTAAGGAATGCAAAGAGACCGTGTAACTTCAAATGAAGACCACTTTGGGTTTTGGTACAATTCCTAAGTCTCAAAGGTCATCTAAAACACAGTCCAAACAGTTGTTTAAAAACATCAGAGCAGTAGAGAGGCAAAGGCTTCATCTATAGTCCACACTGAACACACGTGCAAAAGTTATCACGACTTTGCCATGGATGGGGGCAGATGGGGCACAGATATGATGCAGGGGCCAACCAGGCATTGAAATCCAAATATTTACCAATTAAGACATGCAGGGCAATGCCAATGCAACATACAAATTTATTATCTCCCCCGAGAAGTAACATTAATATGGTTCCATCACCTGCTTGCATGGTTTTTAAAGGGTTTTTTAAATTGATAGTTTTACAGGCAGTTCATGTGAGGCAGTAGAATTCAGCAAACAACACACCATTCATGAGCTCAGGATTCCAGGCAACATGCTTGCAGTGGCAGAGAGCCTCTGACAAGGTTACTTTCCCCACTCGAAATAAAATATAGATTTTTTTTAAAAAGTCACTCCTTTTAATTATATCATGGGTTTAGATTTCCATTTATGCCCATGATATTCAAGACTATATTAAAAATTTAACCATAGTGACAACTGTGCGGGATTCATATCTACCCAGATTGCACTACTGTATACTAGCCCACCATAATTTCAAAATTGCTTTCTATAAAGCCATCTCTCCAGCCAACATTGTATATTTTACGGGGTGAGTTATATTGTTATTTATGAATACTCTCATTCACATTTATTAGCAGCAAAGTTTGGGGGAAAATATTTTCTAGTCTTGACCTATTTCTCTATCCCTCAGAATGTCCAACTATGTACTGCACTTGTTAAAATTTGCAATTTATAAAAAAAATTGGAGTTCAGTAGTCTATTTGTATGTATTTTGCATTGGTGCCTTCTTTAAGGTATTTTAATTAAGTAAAAAAAACACAGCAATATTTATATATATCATTCAGTGTAACTTTATTTACTATTTATTGCACATAACTCGAGGTCTTTGATTTCTAACCACCGAAGTTTTAAGTGACTATTTTTTTCCATGAAGTTGCACATGAACATTAGTGAATTCATTTATTCATGTTGTGTGTGTGTGGTTTTTTTATTATTGTAAACATCTGTGTGATTCACATTGCCATAGATCCTGAACTCATAAGCATGGACCATGCACAGGCTGGCAGCAAGCCAGAAAAGCCACTCTGCAAGCAAACAGATACTCTGCATACGGAGAAAATTCATAGCACAACATTGAATGTCCAACCTAAGTCATCTCAGAGTTATACATATATGGGCTTCTTAATTTGTATAGGATCTGGAACTCAACTGGTTGGTTGGTGATGAGGTTGACCTGATTGGGGAGAATTTTTTTTTCCTGGAATAGCTGGGAACAGGGCTCAATCTTTCTTCTTAGCTGCTTGCTCCTCCCCAGCACCTCCGTCTTTCTTCTCCTCTTCTTCAGATTCTTTGGTGTCTTCCTCTTCACCCTCACCACCTTCTTCTTCTTCTTTCGTGTCTTCAGACTCATCCTTGGCAGCTTGAACATAAGAAGAAAACACAACATCCAAATCTGGGTTAACTTCAGGCAGAACATTTCCCCAGAAACTCACTGAGTTACTAAACACTGTTATCAGAGCGCGTCTATAAACCTATAAACCTTTCGGCCCCACTCTCCCAAAGGACACGTCACAGGCAGTGCTTGCAGTGAACAATTTGGCAGGAGACACGTATTTAAACAAAAGGAGATTACTTCCATGTGTCTGGCACTCATGTTCTTTAGGGCACAATCAGTTCTGGCCAGCATGAAATGTTCTTTTAGGTACCAAACCACTGTGTTAAATAAATGTAATAAAATATGAACCTTCTGTGATTTATCATAGATGTTTTTTAAACATGTGTGTCCTCATCACATGTGTATTGTATATGGTGCAAATCCTACACAGAATTCCCTAGGGAGTAAGCAAGGCTCCAGAGCTCATCCATCTCCCAAGGGATACCCACAGTCAGTTTGCACTAGGGACTCTGATGGTTTTTGTCTTTGCATACCTTCCTCCTCCTCAGCACCTTCCTCTTCCTCTCCTTCCTCCTTCTCCTTCTCCTCCTCTTCTGCTTCTCCCTCAGAAGGGGGTTCATCTTTGGCCTCCTCAGCTTTGGTAGCCTCGATGGTCTCCTCCACCTCTGTCTGCTCTTCCTGGACGTGGCTGGTGTAGTAGGCTGGGAACGAGCGAGCCGACATCAAGTAGGAGCTGCTCTGTAAGCCACTGTAGGCGGAGCGGCCAAAGATCTGCGAGCTCTGAGAGTAGCCACTGGTTAGGCTGCCCACGCTGGTGAAACTGAGCCTGGTCTCTTCGCCTTCCAAGAGTTTCCTAGGGGAGGGGGGAAGAGGGAGAGGCAGGTGAAAGGTACTGTTAGACCCCTGCTGGACAAGTGTTCATGACGTGTTCTAAGCCTACCATTCATCACTTTCTCCTGCTTCTGACCTCAAGAGTAAACACAATGATAAGCACGGTTAGGCATAATTAAGATTTAATAAGGATTGCACGAGAGACCCTGCCCCCAGAAAAACCTTCTGTGTACCCCTATTAGATTTAAAGTGTAAGTGCTAAGGGTTAATTCTTTACACATGTGTACTTTCTTAGAGGAACCCCAAAGTAGGACTCTTCTAGAACACTTGTGATTCAACATAACTCTGCCCAGACTCTGGCTGTCTGAGTTCTCCCGAGGTGCCATGCCCACACTGCCTGCACATCCGGTTTTACCTGTAAGCCGCAATCTCAATGTCCAAGGCCATCTTCACGTTGAGGAGGTCCTGGTACTCCTTCAGGTACCTAGCCATCTCGCTCTTCGTGCTTCTCAGCTCGTTCTCTAACTTGTTGATTGTGTCCTGTGGGAAGATTGCTTTAAAATCTCAAAGCACAAATCTCTACTGCTTCTCTGTTTTACTGTAATATCGGTGCTAAGGACTAGCTTCAGTTAACTCCAAAGTGTGCACCTTCAATAAAATCTCCCCCTTTTTTGGCCTAAAATGTCCAATTTAGTGAAGCATGAGAGGGGGGGGGCGGAGTGGACTGACGCAAGCAACTTCTAAAATTTTCTTTGGTCTATTAGTTCTGGAAAAATGTCTTTAAAATTACCAAATTGATTTAAAAGAAGAAGAAAGAAAAGAAAAAGAGAAAAGACAAAGCCTTTGTGGTACTATTGTTCTTTCTTTTAGCCTTTGAGGAAGGAAATAGTGATTTGCTAAGATGCTTTCCACAACTCTTAATTCTACTCCCCCAAAGATGAGAACTTAAAAATGAATGAATGAATGCATAAATAAATAGTTGCAGTGATTATTGACCTAAAATATTCTGGCTGTATTCTTTTCTCCCTGTTAAAAATGTAACTATTTCAAGGCTGGATGGTTCAGAACTAGTGAGAGTTAGTAGCCATATTTGTTAACTAGGAGATCCAGGAAGTGCAAAGGGTTACTTGGAGTAGAGATAGTACAGAGAAAGCATCAGACTAGTGGCCATGCCCAATTCCAACTCCCTCCGCCCCTTCCTCCCAACCCACTCCCAAAGAACACCAATTCAGCACAACAGGCAGCAGTGGCGCCCCGCCCCCTCCAGGTGCCCCACCCTTCCCACAACCTCCCAGAAGCCGAGCCCTTTGATAGTAGCTCCGTGCTCGAGGACCCCCTAGCGTTCACTCTCTGGGTGCACCCTCCACCCTGACTCTGCAGCCTCCCCGCCCCCACTGGGCTTGGACAGGTGCCATACCTGCATGGCACTGATGTCTGCGTTCTGCTTGTCCTCCAACTCCTGCAGCTGCTTCTCCAGAGCTTCGTTCATACCCCGGCACGCTTCGATCTCCAGGGTCTTAGCCTTGAGCAGGCGGCGGCTTTCGGACACCTCGTCCTTGGCAGCGCGCACAGCATCTGTGTTCTTGGCAGCGCTCTCGGTCAGCACCGTGAAGCGGCTCTTGAACCACTCTTCGGCATTCTGCATGTTCTTGGCGGCCAGCTTCTCATACTGAGCGCGGATGTCCTTGAGGGCGGCGGAGAGGTCGGGCTTGGAGGACACGTCCATCTCCACGGAGATCTGAGCATACTGGATCTGAGCCTGCAGCTCGGCGATCTCCTCCTCGTGCACCTTCTTCAGGAAGGCGATCTCGTCCATCAGGCTGTCGATGCGCTTCTCCAGCTCGGCACGGGCGAGCGCAGCCTCATCGGCGCCTTTGCGGGCCTCCATCAGCCGGCCCTCGGCGTCCTCGCGGTTCAGCACCTCCTCTTCGTAGCGCGCCTGCAGGTTGCGCAGAGTTTCCTCCAGCCCCTCGCGCTCGCCCTGCAGCGCCTGCTTCTCGTTGGTGGCGTCTTCCGCCGCCAGCCGCAGATCACGGATCTCCTGCTCGTACAGGACGCGGAAGCGGGACGGCTCCGAGTGTTTCTGGCGCAGCACCAACAGCTCGGCTTCCAGGACCTTGTTCTGCTGCTCCAGCTCGTGCACGCGCTCAATGAAGCTGGCGAAGCGATCGTTGAGGTCCTGGAGCTGGGCCTTCTCCTGCGTGCGAATCGACTTGAGGTCGTTGCTGATGGCGGCTACCTGACTCAGGTCGAGATTCTCCAAGCTGGGCATCAAAGAGCCGGAGCTGGACGAGTAGCTGCGGCGCACGGACAGAGAGGAAGAGACCGGCGCGGAGTAGCTGGAGTACGCGGAACGCGCAGTGCTGTAGCCGCTGCGCACGCTGGAGATGTGCACCCGGGGCGTCTCCACGTAGCGCCTCTTGTAGGAGGTTGAAAAGTACGGGTCGTAGCCGAACGAACTCATGGTGGCAGCCGGTGTGCCCCTCAGGCCCGGGGCGGAGGTGGAGGACCTAGAGAGAAAAACGGGGAAGAAGAGGGAAATGGGAGGATGGATGGCTGTGTGCGGCTCGGTCCGGTCCTGACACCTCTATTTATACTCCAGGACTCTGACGCAGACTGCGATTGATCGCGGTGCGCAGGCCAGTGGGGGCAGCGCGCTGCCGCAGCCAAGGGGAGGATTCTGCGCAAAAGCGAAGGCGGGGGCGAGCGACAGGCGGCTGGCGAGGTGCGGCTCCCGCCTGGCAGCTTTGCTTCAAGGCCCTCTACTTTCTCTGAGACCCCCAGAACCTCCCGACTCATTCCTTTTCCTTTCCCACTCCCCCGGCCCATCCTGCCTATTAATATCTAAAGTCCTCATCACTCGAATCTTTAAAAGTTCCAAAGAAAATGTTCTTGCTCCCTACTGACACATCAGTTTTTAACCTCCAAAGTCTCAAAGATACCCTGACCCTACTCCGCCCCACCCCCAGCTCGCCCTTTCTCCATCAGAGACCCTTTTAAGCATCCTGCTTTATGTTTACGTAGCCGAGTTGTGAATCCAGGGCGGTTAAGTTACTAACAATAGCTTACTGTAGCCATCCATGGGCTATCCCTGCAGGAAAGTTTTGCATGTCTTTGTGGCTATTTTCTGACATTTTCTGAAATTCCCCTCCCTTTCTCCTGCCTCCTTTTATTTATTCATTTTGTCTTACCATTCTGCTTCTCAGTCCTTCGGGGACATGCCCCTCACCACACCCTTGAAACCTCAGGACAGCAGGTGTTCATTTTAACATTTTAAACCCTTTACAGGAGGCGGTTAATTTGTCTGGTACCTTTCATAGAATTTCTTCTTTCTTTGTGGGAAACGAAGTCTGGAATGCTTCGGAGGGGTTTGAAACAAACCAGGCAAAGAAAGACTAGCAAGGCAAAGACGCGCTCTGCAGCGCCAGAACCTCGGGGTGCCTGTATGCTCAATGAGCTATTTCAACTTTTATCGTATCAAAAACCCCTCCCCCCTATTTTACACCTGTGTGGTACCCCAACCTGATGGTTTCGACAAGCCAGGCAGGTGGCTGATTTTTTTTTCCTTTTCTTTTTTTATGAGAAAGAGAGAAGGGCCAGGGGATGGAGAAACTACTGCAAAGAGCTGCCAGCTCTGGGTGTGGTCTCCCCGGAAAAGAACTCAGCGTGGAGATGGAATAAAAATAAATAGCTGGCTGAAATTCACCAGGGAATCTATGGCTTCCTTCGGGAAGCACCCAGAGACCAGAGTGGGCACGCCAAACGCACGTGGGTGCGGCATTTTCAGACTCGCGTTGTGGGTTTCTGCAGTTTTGAAAAGATACCGCAGAGATTTGTAGGAAGTAACTAAAACCGTTTTGAAGCCAGCAATTGGCGTTTTGTTCAATTTGTTCAGCATACCACTGGCGTACTGGCTCCTTTAACTGGCCCAGTGAAGGGTATGGGTAACGGTTTTCAAACAGAAAAGTGAAGTTTTGGGAGTTGTGCCCGGTCGCCCCTGGAGACCGAAGGGAGGGTGAGGTGACGTTTATTCTGCAGATTCCTTTCTCATTTACACTTACTGTGATTCTGATTCGTGGACGAGGAATGCACTGAAACAGAGGGCTTCTGCGGGGTTGCTGGTGGTTTAAATCTATTAAGTCAAAGCCAAATTAGAAGCCGCCCATGCCTGCACATTCTAAGTTTTTAAACCTAAAGTCACCAGGCTGCCTGAGACTTGTATGGTAACATATAGGGTTAAGTACTATTCAGATGGTTCTCTGAAGCCTTCATTCCCCCCCCCCTTTTTTTAAATCAGAGATCAAGAGGACTTAAGGAGAAGGAACAGGAACAGAAAGAAAGAGAGGTCTTGGATAAGCCATAACTTTTCTTGCTTCCTATTATTTGCATATAGATGACGAGCTGCAGATTTTTTCCCCCAAGCTAGCTCCACGTAACTTGTATTATTTTACAATCTTTTGTAGAGGTTCTGCACACACCACTCTGGCCATTGGTGACTTCCAATCTTCTAGCACCTTTCCTCGGGAGTTACAGGTCGTTCTCAGAGATTTTAAGATCGTGTGTGTGTGTGTGTGTGTGTGTGTGTGTGTGTGTGTGTGTGTCAGGGCTGCTTGGTAACGCCTTTGACTGCAGAGCTGACTGCTCAGAAGGGAGCAGTGCGGCTGTTGCTGCATGGACCTTGAGCTGCTGCAGACAAAATAAATTATGGAGCGCCTTCTGTGGTTCAGTGAGGAGTGGAGCGAGGAGGCAGGTACTCGGGCTTGGTGGCCAGGCTGGCATCTTCAAGTCTGGCTGAGCATTCAGGAGCCCTTCCCTTGTTAATCCTGACCAAGAACAAATGGAGGAGAGGGACGGCGCTAGGGCTCATGAAAGGGGGGGGGTTCTACTCTTTCTTCATAGCATCTGGCAACAGCCACTGGTTATAGCTGCTTCACTTCAGCCTGGCTTTGGAGTAGAGGGAGGGGTCCTGAATCCACCTTGCTCCCCCCCCCCGGTCTTTGTTACCTTGCTGTGTGCTCTGCTCTGCTAGATGCTGAGCTCTTTTTTTTAAATATTCTGCCCAGTCATCCTCCCTTTTCAGTCCTCCTGTCAGCATTTGCTCCAAGAACCCAAGCGACATTTGCTTGGTGTGTCCGAGCCAAGTAAGACACTTTAAAAAGAAACAGCTTGGCTTTCGTTTCCCCTGTCCATAGTGATTCTGCCTTGATGAAATCTGCAGTGGGTAGTTTGCTCTCCTCCCTCTCTGTGGCTCTCCATGTGTCTCTGTCTCTCTATCTATCTATCTCGATAAGGCCTATGGAGTCTTATCATCTTTATCTTTTGATTTTTCTATAAGCATAAAACAAACATGAAATTGACTGGGAGTTTCCAGCACGACCCCATCTAGTAGAGACATGAAATGAAAAATAGAAATAAGTGAGTTGGTGGAAATCATTAACAAAATATTTTAGTTATCTCCAAACACCTCTGTATTCCTTCAAAGAACTTTTCCAGGTCCATTAGTTGAAAGCAAAATAAATACATTTGCATTACAGTTACACAGTTAGTGTATAGCTGTTTTAGAAGCACTAAAAATCCAGCACTTCTTTTTCAGTGGCAATAGGGTCTATAAGCTTCAAGTGGGCACCTGGTGGCTCCAGATTTTCTGTTGCTTATTCTGAAATCCTTTGACATAGGAGTTTCTCTATTTGTCATTTATTTTTTAGCCAGAAGCTGAAATGCTTACAGGCTAAAAAAAAAAAAGGCATGAAAGGTTCTGTCCATGGTCCTGAAAGCCAAGTTCTCCCAACAGCAACGCAGTCAAATAATCCCACATTAGAAGAACAAGTGGGTCTCCATCCCACCTCATGGTCCGGTAGATACATCAGTAGCATCAGTCCTGGAGCCCATATATCAATCCAAGGAGGGATGAAGGAAATAAACACAGAAGGGGCATTCACCAAGCAGCAGGGACTTGCTATCTATTATTCAATAAGGACAAAATATCCATGGGAAGGTTATTCAGAGCAAACAGCCAAAGCCGAAGACATCGGGTCATTTGAAGTCACACAGCCACCTCCATCCCAAGTTCTGTCTGCCTCCAAACTGAATGCTGCTTTCCTCATCCGAGTTCACATCTTCCCTGCCTTCATAAAATTCGACGATTGCATGCTGCAGGCCGCAGAGTACAACACACATGCACCAACACGAACTGCTCTATACAGTGAGGCAGCAGCTGAGAATGTTCTCTCTGAACAACTAGCAGCAGAGAGGCAATGAACTCTGTGGTTGTTACGAGTTTCCCTAAACATCCCAATATAGCATAAAATGGCCACTCCTAGTAAAAGACAACCCATAACCAATGACATAATAATGCGACTTTATCCTTTTCCATGTTGTAACTTTTCAGACAGAGCCCCATCACTCATTTGTCATGCAACCTTTTCAGAAGTTGTTAAGCCAAACTGCAGCTTAGCCCCTCCAAATCTGCAGTCACCACACCCTGACTTCCACCCTCCTCGGATGACATTCATCTTCATTCTCTGCCTTCATAAACAGGTTTCTTGGAGATTACCTTTAAAGCAGCTGCAATAAATAAAAGAAAAGGTGCTGGCCCACAGCAGCCCACAGCTGAAGTGTATCATGCTTGCCGCTTATGTTTAACCTTTTCAAAAGAAATATGAGCATAAAGTCAACTGGAAGGTACACTCGGTTGAAGCCACAGGTATCTGTCCTCTCTGTATCTGGAAGCCAGCTAATGACTTTGTATAACTGGGGCCGTATTCACAATTAGACTCACAGCTGAGTCTCCCTCCTACCTGGGGAAATGTTTAAAAGGACACATGCAGTTGAATGAACGGGTATCTAATTGAGAGCCACACATTCTGAAAGTGCTTCCTCACTGAACGGTCTGCACAGCTGTATAGACTTTAGGCTGCAGCAGAAGGGGGGGGGATGTCGCATGGATGCTGTATGGATACATTAAAGATGAGAAGCTCATTTCTATTCAGAGCACGTTCGCCCCTGGAAGTGACAGGGACTTAGTGCTGTCTGAGCAGAAATGATGGTGATGAGGACAGACCCCTAAAGGCTTGTTCCACGGAAGTAACCAAGGTAATGTCTTTTCTCCCCAGAGGCCTGCTCCCTCCATCGCAGTCACCAGTCAGAGGCTCTGCTGGGGACAGCATTTCAGGCAGGTCACGGATGCGGGTCAGACCTGACAGGACTAACCCTGTTTGTTCAGTAGCATTTCCAGACTGCAGAGAAATACATGCTGCTTCTGCAATCTAGGTGGTAGCCGGCTGCAAAACCATCCCCGCTGCACCCGGGTCTCTTTGCTGACCTCTACCGTGGCTTAATAAATCAATCAGAGGAATGAGAGACATAAGGTTGTCAAAGACTGGGGATAAGCATTTCCACCTGCCAGAGACAGAGCCTCAGGCTGGCGCCCTCACAGTCAGGCTGGATCCCAGCCAGGGCAGCAGTTCACTCCCTCACCAGCTCGCCTTGCTGCAAGAAGGCAGCAGATGCTGCGGAGTCGCAAAGGGGCGGATCCCTGGGCTCTGAAGACACTGCAGGCCGGCTCCTGAAACCATGTGTCTGTCAGGTTATTTGGTAAGTTGAACGTTAAGACACCGTCTGATTTAGAAAAGT